TCTATCTATCTATCTATCTAGGCTAATATGTTATATAACATAATGTTTAATATAATGGACTACATTTCATTTGTTGATGAAGGCCATGAGATGAGGTTAAAAGCTCCAGAGAGAGGTATAAATGAATTTAAATGATTTACTCTACTCTCGTAATCGTAATCATAATTCCTGTTACTACTTCTTAATGAAAGAGCGTTCCCTTTATTTTATAATTATTATATATATACATGAGGCTATTTATATTTTTCAGTGTATTTATTTTGTATTATTTTTATATTCCTATTTATTCATTCATATTCTGCTATGCTCTGTTACACAAGAAAGGGTGGGATTGGTAGGGGAGCTGGAGAATGTAAATCACTTGTTTAGTCTGCCTAAAACAATACAAATATTATTTTAAAAGATATTTGTCAAACTGTTGTAATGTATTAACTGACATTACATTTGTATTATCCCTATTCGTCTAAATAAAAACAACAGTGCATACACACACAAAAAAAAACAAGAGGGATCCATAGGGGTGGCATGGGGTGGGAACTGCCACCCCTAAAAAATGCCTGGCTACCCTAACTGCCAGGTTGGTGTCAAATTGAACACATTAATTTAGATTAACTTTAAAAATAACATCATAAAATATGGAAATTAATTTAATGACCTATGATTTGGAGAAAATCATAGGCCATTTGATTTCCAATGTCACCTTTAGGTATTTCTATTCATTGCTTTACTAATGAGCCACAATAATGTAATGTGTTTGAGTGTAAATACCTTTTCCAAGCAAATATTAATAAATGTTATTGTTTGCCCCCCTCTGGCCACACCATCAATATTTCTCTAGATCTGCTCCAGGAAATCACATTCAAAACAAACATTTAGTGAGTCACATAATTAAACATCATTCAAATATTTTAGGTAAGAAACTTTCTGCATGATGTGGAAAAATTTTTCCTTGGCTGGTATCCACAGTCAATATGGATTACAAATAAGACGTGTTATCTTAACTTATTAACTCAATTATTAAATTATTACTTTTAATGTCAAATATTTGAGTTCTGTGTTGCTGATGAATTTAATATTAATCCTAATATATATGTATGTAGGCAGTGTTTACTGAATTTCTTCAGAGGTTAAAGTATGGTCAATTATAATGTGCATATTTAAACAAATGGACCTTAGGCCAGATCAGACAACACACAAAAGCCTTCATATATTACCGTTGCTCTAATGGAACCACCTCCAATGAAAAAAAAAA